TGAAATGCAAAGTTGTTAAAATACTTTGAGAGGTATATGGTATCTCAAGTTATCAAGAAAGACACCAAAGCAAAGAAACGAACCCGATACAACATTATCCAATGTGAGAAATCACTCGACGAGTCGATCATATCGGGGAATAGCCACAATCGTCGATAAAATAGAAATGATCAGCTTGTCCTATAAGTAACCGAACAATGGATGAGACCAAGTTCATAAGAAAGGCAAGACTCGGTCGGGGGCAAGGTCATAAGACTCGGATGATGGATAACTAACAAGCGTTGAAAACCCGAATAGCCGACAAAGAAAAGTTGAAAGGGAGATTTGAGTCGGAACGGCCTATGACTCCTATAGATACCCCAACTAATCATCATATTAAGTTTTGTTTCGGTACTCGCAACCTTAAAGAAAAAGAAGAAAAACTAGGATAAGTCCTAGGTAACGAATTACCAAAGATACGAAAATTCAAAGTTTCTCTCAAATCCTCTCGGGCATGGTCGTCGTCTCATAACGGACCACCCCTAAACGCATAACCTAACATCCAATGACCGGTTCCACTTCGGGTAAGGTCCATCAACTCAAGTCATCACGACAGGTAAAACTAACTAGCAATTACCGCATATTTAATTTTTTAGGATTGGTCGCCCTCCAAGTTGACCATGTAATGCATATTTAATTTTTCGAGATCGATCGCCCTCCAATTTGCTCGTTTACTACATATTTAATTTTTCGAAGTCGGGCGCCATCCAATTTGATCGTGTATCGCATATTTAATTTTTCAAGGTTGGTCGCCCTCCAAGTTGACCATGTAATACATATTTAATTTTTCGAGATCGGCCGCCCTCCAATTTGGTCGCGTCATCGCATATCTAATTTTTTAGGATTGGTCGCCCTCCAAGTTGACCATGTACTGCATATTTAATTTTTCGTAGCTGGTCGCCCTCCAATTTGGCTATGTACTCGCATATTTAATTTTTCGGGGTTGGTTGCCATCCAAGTTGACCATGTATCGCATATTTAATTTTTCGTGGTCGGTCGCCCTCTAAGTTGATCGTGTACTAGATATTTAATTTTTCGTGGCTGGTCGCCCTTCAAGTTGGTCGTGTACTACATATTTAATTTTTAGGATGGGTCGGCTGGTCGCCCTCTAAGTTGACCGTGCTCGGATATTTAATTTTTCGTGGCTGGCCGCCCTTCAAGTTGGTCGTGTACTACATATTTAATTTTTCGGGGTGGGTCACCCTCCAAGTTGACCATATAATGCATATTTAATTTTTCGAGATCGGCCGCCCTCCAATTTGGCCCCGCTTCGCATATTTAATTTTTCGGGATTGGTCGCTCTCTAAGTTGACCATGCAATGCATATTTAATTTTTCGTAGTCGGCCGCTCTCCAATTTGGTCGTGCTCGCATATTTAATTTTTCGGGGTTGGTCGCTCTCCAAGTTGACCATGTAATGCATATTCAATTTTTCGGGATCAACCACCCTCCAAATTTCTCTTGCATTGCACATTTAATTTTTAGAGTAGGCCGCCCTTAATAACAAAGCCGTTGCACTCTGTTTTCATAAGTCATTGCATTCCCGCATGTCATTCCATCCTCAACTAGGTCATTTTAGTACATGTTAATTTATTTTTCTCATATTTTCTTCTTTTCAAGCTCACTAAACAAACTTAACTTGAAATTTATATTTCGGTTTATGTTTGCACCATAAGCATTGTAAAGAGGGGGCAACTCGTCATAACTAAAATTTTAGAATTTTTTATTTTTAATTGATTATTTTTTCTTTTATTTTAAGTTTTTTTAGTATTTATTTTCTTATCTTAATCAATGTTATTATTTTTATTTATTCCATTATTCTTAATAATTGGCAAAATGAAAAAAAATAAAAAATACAAAAATAATGTAAATTTAATATTCGGGGATGCAATTGTAGTAAATTTCAAATAAGTACATTCATTGAGGATACAATCGAATCATTCAAAGTTTGAGGGTCGGATTACATTGCACATGGACTAAGTTGACCTAGTAATGATTTTCAAGGACCAAAATTGCAAAATTACAAAAAAAAAAGCAAGAAAAATTGTCAACTTGCGTACTGCCCAACTCCTCTCAAGTCAATAATCTCGACACGCTTTACCCGCGACCACCCTACTGCTCGTAAATTCTAGCGAACTGCATCATCACCCAACTCTCTCCCGTTAGCCCCCACGCCCACACAACCTCCATAGTGCCTCCCTCCAGGCAGCCTCACCGCTTCTACTACAACTCCTACAGGTCCCTCCGGACAACTTCCCCCATATCCAGGCAATCTCCAATGCAATCCCCCAATTCCTCGCAGACCTCACCATGCCGCAACTTGCAGCGAATTGCACGACCTCCCCCTATTACCAACCCCGCCACAACCATCCCCTACAACCCAAATGGCCACACTCGCCCACTCTATATCTTGCAACAAAATCCCTCACCATTATGGTGGGGAACCAACCAAACAGAAGACATTCACATATATACATATACACGGACAGTAGCAAAATAAGACGGAAAAAAAGGGGGAGGGATTTTTCTTCGATTTGATATCCAAAAACAAATTAATTAATAGGGAAGCTTGCAAATTAGGAAAGAGTTAGCGATAAAAAGAAAAAATGGGAAATCGGCAGTAAAGAAAAAAGAGAAAATTCAAAAAAAAAAGAAATTAAATTTACTTGAATTGAAGGCGAGTCCACATCCATTTCCACCAATTCTTTTAGGTAATCCCTCTAATTTCTCTTTAATTTCATTTTTTTTTACACAATTTAAGTTTGAATTAAAATTTGGGGATTTTTTGAAGTTGTGAAAAAAATTGAAAAATAGATTTGGGGTTTTGATAAAATTGAGTTCTAAAGGGTGTGAATTGACTTTATTTTAAGTCAATCAAGTCTAATTGAAAGAAAATTGAAGAAAAATCAAGCCTAGGGTTTCGGTAAAAAAAAAAATTGGGAATGTTTGAAAATTGATTTGAGACTTTTCGATCTAGAGTTTTAGGAAGGAAGAAAGGAAGGGAGAAAGGAAGGAAAGAAAGGAAGAGAAAAAAAACGGGGGAAGCATGGACGAACCCGTTTTGGTTCGTCCATGGCGGACTCGATAGAAGAAATATACAAGGGAAAGGCGAGAAAGGGAGATAGAAGAGAAAGGGAAGAAAAGAAGAAAGAAAGAAGGGAAAGAAAAGAAATGAGAAAGGAAGAGGAGGGACGAACCAGTTAGGTTCGTCCATGGAGGTTGGCGAGGAGAGTGAGGAAGAGGAAGAAGAAAGAAAGAAAAAAAAGAAAGAGGGAGAGACGGGATGAAGAAAAAAAAAGGGGGGTCTTTGATCCGAAATTTAGGAAAGGAAAAAGGAAGGGAGTGTTTGTGGGTTGGTTTTAGTTTTTTAGGTTTGGTTTGGGCTTAGCCCATCCCATTTTCTACTAGGTCGGACTAAATCAGCCTAGTCGAATCAATTTTTTTTCTCTTTGAGTCGGATCGATTCCAGCCAGTCCGAATCAACTTTTTTTCTTTGCAATCCAACCCGGTTCGAAAGCAAAAAAACAAAAAAAATAAAAAAACAAAAAATATGTGTAATAAATTTTACATTTTAATTTTATGCATGGTATTTTTTTTTATGTTAAATGGTCTTTATTTGTTTTTAATTTAAATTTAATTTTAGGTGTATTTATGCATGTTAGTTAGAATTTGTCATTTTAATATTTTGTAATTGTTTGAATTTACCCTTGAATTTATTTTATGTATATCTATTATTAATTTGAATTTCAGTATTTGAATTTTTTTATTTAATTCGTGTAGTTTTAATTTATTTGTTTAGAATTAGGCTCGGTAAGTAATAAGTAGAAGATCGTCAAGTCTCCTAAATTTTTTAGGGACTAATGACAATCTTTCACGTAAAAAAAAGAAAAAAAAATAGTATTTATGCAAGAAAAAAATAAAAAAACATAAAAAATAAAAAAATAAAGAAAGAAAAGTAACAAAAAAATTCATAAAACTTTTTAACAAAGTCTCCTATCCGATAGGGATCGTTAGCCAAAATTTTTTATTTTAATAAACAAGTGTTCTTCGGCACACCGGTTGTGTGGAGACTAAAAAATGGATCCGATGTTTGAACCGACGTGTCTCCCGACGGAAAGGGTCCGACGATCGTTTTAATACGATGCCACGCTCAAAAATAAAAAACTTAATTTGACTTGAAAAATTGGTCTCAAAAATTGAAAAATAATGTGGCAAAAAAAAAAAAAGAAATACTTTAGGAGGTAATTTAGGGCTAAGCTAGACATGGTACCTTTCTTAGGAAAGGGCACTTTTAGGTGATTAGTTATCTTCCCATAAGCGTAACCGACTCCTTACCATAGAATCTCCGAACCATCGTCAATTTTAGGTTTCTAGTTCCTTCAATACTAGGTGACGACTCCAAACTCTTCAAATTGTTTTGTAAATAAAATAAAAATCGAAGCTAGTGATAAACCGTAGCTTTATTTTTTGACAGATCCCGTCCGACGTCCGATAGCGACACCTCTCGACTCGTAGTCATGCGTGCCATGGCTTCTTCACTTTCCGGTTGCTCATAACCTTTCTCAACAATTTCCTATGCATCTTGCGATCCTAGCAAGGCTTTCATTCTAATACACCAATTGTCATAATTTTTTTTGTGAGTTTAGGAAATTAGAAAGGGAACATGCCTTCATTCATCATCTTCTTTTAATGAGGGCTCGATACCGCATTGTTGGCACAAGAGAGAAGAATTATAGACTGAAATTTAGAGGATAGGAAAAACTGATCTTATTCATAATGATAAGTACACTATATATAACCATAAATCTTAATCACCAAGATAAACTTTTGATATCCTATTCATGAACATAACCGTAAACTATTAAAATACCAAGACTTATCACACACCATTAATAATGATAATAATTAATTTAAGTTTCTACTGACAATTTCTTTGGTATCTTGAGCAACAAACATAAGCATTTAAAACATAAACTCAGTCTCACAAAAACTGTCACAGTGAATACCTGTAGCATCTAAAGGATACCCAAGAGCAAGTGCACCATCATTCACATTAAGTTTTTCTGGATCGAGCTCCAGCTTCTTAATACATAAACATACTGCGATGCAAATGCCTAAATAGAGAACAACAGGTTCCTTAACTTAAAAAAAATCTCTCTTATGGATATCACAATAATAATAATAATAATAATAATAACAACAACAATAACAACATTCGTTGAAGCCCACCACCTCATTTATTTCAAATAGGTCAATATCATTAAGCTCAAGTCCAGCAGCTTTCACTACAGCAGGAATTGCGGCGGCTGGGCCTACACCCATTATAGCAGGATCCACACTAACAGCAGCAAAACTCCTACAGGAAAAGCATATAACTGTAAGATTGGGGCATGAAAACTTTTTAAACTCCCAACCCCATATTAACATGTTCTTTCCATCTACTGAACTCTTAATTTCCTTCCTAAATTAGAGGATTTCACTAATGATATGTGAACTTTTGCATCAAAAAATTCTATTCCAACTTCCAGTTACTGAATCTTTTGTAATAGTCCTGCTTATTCTTGGAGCAAAAAGCTATGGTTCCAAGAGTGGAATTCATTTGATACAAAAATTTAAATAACAGAACAAAGCAGTACGCTCTCATACGAAGATAAAATGTAGAAAAAAAACATAGAGATGGTGCCGCGGTTTCTCTTTCCACCGAAGTAAATGCTGAATTAAATTGTGAAACATGTTCATGGATGTCATTGGCTTCTTTCAATACTAGGTATTAAATAGTATGTCTCTCTAACAAACTAGGAGGAAATCTTTCTTAGCTTTATAAATCTCTCTAGTCTGGACACTCTTCAAAGATTTTATACCATAACTGCCCCATGAATTTCTGCAAAATTTACGCAATGCAGCAATCATATCAAGAAAGGAAGTCAAGTTAAATTTGCTTTCAGAAGGTTCTTTAACATGTCAGTATGCTTTGGCACGTCAAGCATGGCTCTAAAGAGACCAATTGAGATTGACTGTGAGATCACCACTTTTTCTTTCCTAACTATTTATCTATTCCTTAGCAATAGAAAACTTAGATGACCTCAAAAATGCCCTAGTTTTGATCAAATTCTTTTTTAATAAAAAATGTAATAAAAGATGAACGTTATTAAATAAAATAGGTCTGGAATCAACTAGCTGGCCTAATTGCAGCATCCAAGGTTTGCACTTGTAGCAACACATGGTTACATGTAAAGAGCCATGCTTGATTCCTGCTAAAGTTAATATCTCTTTGCAAGAAAAAATGAGTACCTGAACACTCCAAAAATTGGAAGTCCCTTCTGCACAGCCAGCTTCTTTTCATAAGGACAGCTCCAGCACCATCACTGACTTGGCTAGCATTGCCTATTTATACAATTGCACTCAAATTTCATTTGACGATACATGCTGATCCAGATAGACTGAATACATTCTAAAAAGATCCTTCATGCTAAGGTGTATTACAAATACCAGCAGTGGTGGATCCATCCCTTTTGAATGCAGGTTTCAGCTTGGACAGTTCTGCCAGGTTAGAGTTTGGTCGAATGCCATCATCCTTTGAAACTGCGATAACCTTATGTGTACCCGTTTTTGGGTCATGATCTTTGTATAACGACTATCATAACTCAAATTTGGGTTACAACTTTATCTATTTATTTATTTATTTTTATTTTTATTTTATTATTATTAAAAGGAAAAAAAGAGAGAAAAAAAAAGAAAGTAAAAAAATAATGAAAAATGATAAAAAAAGAAAGAAATTGATAAGTTTACTTTTAAGGATTCAATTGTGATTATTTTAAAAGTATTATGGCTCAATTTAAAATACCGGACAAGTGGAGAAACTATTGAAATAAATTAAGAGGGGATCGGGAACAATTGAAACTAAAGGGACCAAAATAAAGATTGAAAGGGTTTAATCGAAAAAAATCAAAATTAAAGAGGACCAAATTGAAAGGAAGAAGTAGACGACAAGACGAACTTGACAACTTGGCCACGGACAACCCGTCGTCCATCACTTGAATTAAGTAGTATAAAACACTCGTTCCTCTCCTTTCTTTTGAAAGGAAGGAATAAGTAGCATACCTTAGGTTTGTTATAGAATGTAACAAACCCTCTTTGATCACCATTCGCAGTTCCACTCTCCATAAAATTTCCCCATGATCAGCCATCCTTCCCCTGCAATTACCCACCATTCCACTCTCCATAGAACTCCCCATGACCACTCTCCACCACCTTCCCCATAAACTCTCACAACTTTTGCTCCATTTTTCCACCATTCCACTCTCCACAAAATAGACCCACGACCATATTCTCCACATCCCCATAACTCCCGCAAGTCACCCAATACTAGTTGCCCACTATCCACGTTCATTCTAAGCATATAAATAGTAGTGAAAGAGGAAAGAAAAGGGAGACGAAAGAAAAGAGAGGAGAGGATCGAGAAGAAATAGAGAGAGAGAGAAACAGGAGACATAAAGAAAAGATTTAAAAAAAAAGAGAGAAGCAAGAGAGAACATGGAGAGAAGAGAGCATGCAAAAAAAAAAAAAAAAAAAAAAAGAAAAAGAAAAAGGAAAAAAGAAAAAAGAAAAAAAAGAAAAAAGATAAAAGGGAAACAAGAGGTCTTTGGTTTTGGAAATTCAAGGTTTTAGAGTTTTAAGAGGTCTTTGGGTTTTAGTGTTTAATAACACAAAAGAGAGTAGCAAATTCTTAAAAAAAAAAGGGGTAAGAATTAGGAGAAGATAGAACAAAGAGAGAAAAGGTCGAAGCTTGAAGTTCTCTACTTTTGAATATTGAAAAAAAGGAGGCATTAGGGAGAAGTTCACCGTCCATCCTTTATTCGAATTCGGTTTCAATTTCTCACCACTACGTTGAGCTCACTAGGTAATTTCTTCACCGTTTTTATATTTCATAGCTCAAATCATTCTCCAATCTTTGTTCCTCGATGTGCATGAAAAAACGAAGATAGCAATGAATATGATAACCTAAAGTAATGAATAAAACCTACCACCTTAGTCTTGTTTACTTTGTTTTATGATATAACGATTGTAGTTAGTAAAAGGAGAAGAAGAAGAAAGAGTTCGGTTAAGAGAGAGAAGATGAGGAAAGGAAAAGGCTGTTCGGGCCAAAAGAAATTTAGACCGAAGTTTTGTTTTAGAAAGGCTTGGGCGGGCATATGTCCAGTCTAAGCATTAAAAAAGATGGGTTAGGTTAATACAATCCTAAAAGAAAATAAATAAGCTGGAACTAGTCCGGACCCAAAAAAAAAAAAAAAAATTCGTTTTATTTTATTTATCTCGTTTATGTATATATATTTTATTTTAGATGATTTATTTTGAATGTTTACTTATGCATGCTTATTTTCCATTTAATTTTAGATTTTTATACTCTAGTTTTCTTGAAATTTTAGTTAGTTAACTTTAATCAATTTTAGCTTTTTTTAGAATTTTACTTTCACAATTGGGTTAGATAACTAAATGATAGATGAATTATCGAGTGTCCTAATTTTTAGGGACCGATGATGATCCTCCATCGACAAAAAAATAAAAAATATATAAAAATGTTAAAAAAAAAAGTTAATTCTTTTTATTAGGAGTTTGTTTCAAAATTATATTAATAATTAATGGATAGGTGAATTGTCTAGTCTCCTAAATTCTTAGGAATTGATGACGAGTTTTTTTCTCCGAAATGTCGATAATTAGATTAACGAGTTAATAGGTGGGTGAATTGTCGAGTTTTCTAAATTCTTAGAGACTCGATGATAGTTTTTCTTGAAATGTCAATAATTAGATTAAGAAATCAATAGGTGGATAATTATCGAGTCTCCTTTTGTTTTTTTTTAAAGGATTGATGACGATTTTTCCACCAATAAAAGTAAAAAAATCATAAAACCTTTAAATAAGTCTCCTATTTGATAAGGACTATGGTTAGCAAAAAAAAAAAAATCATTTTTAATAATGATGAGACACACCGATTATATCGAGGCTTAAAGTGGATCCGATGTTTGAACCGACATATCTCTCAACGAATGGGTTCGACGATCGTTTCAATATGATGCCACGCCTAAAAATTAAAAAAAATATATGTATTTTTTTTGACTTGGAAAATTAGAGTTTTAAAACAAAAAATAATTTGACACAAATAAAAAATTTTTGGAGATGAATTTAGGACTAAAATAGATATGGTACCTTTTTTTAGGAAAGAGCGTCTTTGGGTGATCAATATTTTTCCAAAGCGTAACCAACTCCTTGTCTTAAAATCTTTAAACCGAGTGCCCATTTTAGGTTCCTAGTTCCTTCAATACTAGATGATGACTCCAAACTTGTAAATAACTTTATAAATAATGATGTCGAGTAGCGACATAATGATGACTCCACTGGAGAATTTAGAGTTAAGCAATAGTTTTAGTCTTTCGAATTCATCTTTGTTATTTTTTTATTTATTTTGAGTTATTTATTTTTCAAGTCTTTAAATTCCAATTTATTTATTTTATGCAATTTACTTTTTTTGAATTTTACTTTTTGTATATATTTCAAAGTCATTTATTTTATTTAATTATTGTAAATATTTTTAATTTTTGTAATTTATTTTCTCATTACATTTTATTTGAATTAGGTTAGATATTTACTTTGAACTATTGCACACACCACGAAGAAACTTACAAAAGATCCGGACCCGAGCTAAACCCTATTAAGATTTAGATAGAGAGATCCGGAGGCAAGAATGACGAAAGTCTACTAATGCTCTTCCGGATTCTTGTTTGACTCGGAACTTACCTTATGTATAGGAAATGGTAGAATGATATTCCTTTACCTCCTAGCGCATAAGTTAGAGGCTCAATTACCCTATTAGTAATTTAGACAAGTCCGTAACTTAAAAAGACTTAAGGATTAGACAAGCTTGCTAAAACCATAGACAAGTTAGATCATATCCACTAGTGGTTGACCCATTAAGACACGAATCACTTTCAAATGATATCTCGTTTAAACCTTGACTTTTGCAAGTTACCATTTATACAAATCATGATAGAACAAATTAGAAATGAAGTCGAAGATTTTAAGGTCACATCGGAGCAGTGCCTAGGTTAACGAGGGAGATTGTTTGCCTCTAAGTTTTATGTCAAAACTGCCAGAGAAAGCTAAAATCGTCGATAAACTAGCCAATATGGGACCACTCCTTAGTTGTTAGGAGATGTTTACTTCTAAAGATAGGTTTGATTTTCGGAAGATATATGGTGACATAGCTCGGTTGCTCAAGATTAAAGTTCGGATCTTTTGCTTTCAAGCCATGATAAGGCACTAGGATCCGAATACCTCTGCTTCACTTTTGAAAGCGTGGATATGTCATCCACACTAAAAGACTATGAAGCTTTATAAGAATTTTCCAAAATAGAGGCGATCAACCTCTACAG